AATTCACATCTGGTCATTTTGATGAGTTCCGGGATCACAAATCCATCCACATTTTTAACACATCACACCATGCAGACATAGAAAAATTAATGTGTGTCTGAAACAGGGCACTTAATTCTCTATCTGTTGCTTTATATCTTCTGTATCTCATTAATGATACCTTTTTACCTTGATCCAGTTACTCCACAGAGAATCATTCTTTATAAGACTTTTCCTCACCCTACTCTGCACATCTAGTCCTTCTAATTCTTTTCTCTAGTTTGTAAATGTGCTCAGAATCAATCTACTTTTTTCCACTGGTCCTGACCACCATCTCTCCTTGAGATTAAGACAGCAGTCTCCAAATTTACAATGTTTTCTTCTCAAACTTAACCCATGTTCCACTTGATGGCAAAGCTAATCTTGCAAAGCACACATAAGATTATGTTACTTCCATGGTTAAAACCTTTCAACAACTTCTCACCAAATTTAAAGTAAAGTTCAGGCTCCTTATGATGGACTACAAAGCTCTTGGTGATCTGGCTCCAGCCAGTCCCTTCACCCTCACTGATTTTCCAAGTCCCCCAAGCTCATGAGGTTGTAGCCACCCTAATCATGTTCATCCTAGTCAATTTCTCAGGGTCTCACTCTAGCCTCTTCCCCACCTGAGGACCTCTTCCCTCAGGTGGACAACCTTTTATCTAGTAGTCTTCATCTCCACCTCTTGTTTCTTTTCTCTATCACACTTATTTATATGTCAGTACACTGAAATTATTTTATTCATTTGCTTATTTATTTCTTGTTTGTCTTTACCTATTAGTAGGTAATGACTATGAGGAAAGGGACCATCTTTGTGGCCCTGCCCTTCTTAGCAGCACTTAGAGGGAATCCGATAAATGTCTGTTAAAAGAATGAGTGGAGAATGGGAACAGGCAAGACTATGGCGTAAAGACACACTGCAGGCTCTGCAGAGGGAAAAGCCTGAGACAAGACACAGGCAAAATCTGTAAAATTATGAACCAGAGGGAAAAAGAAAATGCCATTTGGTCACCAAGTCCCAGGACACTGGGCTGGGGAGGCTCCCTTTGATATTTCAGATTTTAGAGCAATAAACTTAACAAGACTCAGCAATTAAGAAGTAAGCTAAAGAGGATACATAAATGAAAGGGGATGGATATCAAAAAGTTTGGACAGTTTTGCAAGTGGCAGTGTCGTAAAAGACCAGCAAATGAGGCCTGGATGACAGGAAGGGGAAGGCCAAGGAAGATCCACTAGCCAGCCCCTTTTTCCAAGGTTGTAGTCTTATCAGTCTTGGTTTAATTCAATATGAATAGAAGTAACCGCCATGTTTTTGTTTTGTTTTAAGCTGAGAACTTCACTAGTGCTTTATCCTCCCCGCTTTACTTGGTGGACATTCCCATTGTACTGGTCAGGGAGCAGAGGCTTGAGAGTCTAATTGACCAGCTGAAGGTCACATTCGGTGAGGGGATGAGCGAGGCAATGAAAGCAGTACTGTCACCAGGACCTTGCTCCTACCTTCTGTCCTGACCCTAATTAATATTCACGTCCCAAACCTTAGGGAAAATGGCAAAACTTGCCTTTAGTATTTACTTCTCCATCATTTACCCTTTTCGGTGATCCCTACCGAGGATCACTCCCTGGGCTAGAGTCCTTTTAGAAAGAATGAAAGCTGATAAGTCATTAACACCTTAGCATGAACTAGCTAATGACCCTATGGGGATGCCACTGAAGTTTGTGAGGTGCAAATATTTTGACCAGAGGCCCTCTCCTCCCCCACCAATCCCAGACTCAGAGCTGCAACTCTTGGGTCCATGCTGGCTAATGAGCATGTACAGGCGGAGGAGCTCGATAAAGATGAACTGATTTATTGATCGATGGGAGCGCAGCTGAGCTTAATCTTCCCTTGCAGCTGCTCCTTTCCTTCCACATCTCTGAAGAAGTGTGTTGGCCCCGCCCAACATCCTCATGCATAGCCCACCCCATTCTTTTGAACTGGGCCTTAGTGGGAATCTGGTGTGAAACTAATCGGTGGCAGAGAAACATATTGTAGCCATGACATGCAAGCCCTTGGCATGTGGCTAGTCTGCACTGAGATGTATAAAATACATATAAGATTTCAAAGATTTAGTATGATAAGGATTTAAAGATACCTCGTTTATATATTTTATATTAATGCTGTTTATAATAGATAATATTAAGTTCAACTGTCTTCCCTTGTTAAAAATGAAGCTACTACAAAATTTAAAATTGATTGCATAGCTCACAGTATACACTTACTGGGCAGTGCTGCTCTTGACCCAGGGTGTTTTTGGTCATTATTTTATTTAATCCTCACAATTATTCCAGGAGGTAGGTGCCATTATCACCCCAGTTTTCTTCATGAAGACACTGGAATCAAAGGTTGGTAACTTGCCCAAGGCCATGAAGCTACCAAGTTGCTGACTTGAGATCTGAATTCAGGTCCCCCCGACTCCATGACCACACTCTCTTTCCAATTTATGCTACTATATTGACATCCTCTGTGGGGAATTGCTGCTATGTTGAAAAATGCTGGGGGAAGGAGCACAAGAAATGATTGTGGAAATGCTGACAGCGGCTAAATGACATAATTAAAAATGCAACAAGGCTTCTGAAGTATGTGCTGTTGGGGCAAGAATGGACAGTGAATCTGGCTCCAAGTTTGACTGCAAAATCTATGCTCTCAGAAAAAGGAAACTACAAACCTGGAACCTTGGAAATGCATATCACTCAGGGAATTTTAAGATTTCAAAGATGGTGAGGCATGTCAGGCATAGAGCTTCCCCGGGTCTGGGCTCTGTGGGTTGGTTTAGGCCAAAGCAGAACTCCTACCTCATGAAAATCTTTAACATAGACACCTTCTGTGGGGTTGTTTAGTGGGATTGTTGATAAGCAGAGAGGGGAAGGGCAGTTAGGAGCTGTTCTAGGGACACTTGCCCAAGCCCCCTGGATTCTGGCTCCACACAACTGACTCATAAATATGTGCATGCTCAGTTGTGCCCGACTCTTTGTGATGCCATGGGCTCATGGTGAGTGTAGCCCACCAGGCTCCTTTGTCCTTGGGACTTTCAGGCAAGAATATTGGAGTGGGTTTTCATTTCCTCCTCCAGGGGAATCTTCCTGACCCAGAGATTGAAACCGGGTCTCCTGAATCTCTTGAATTGGCAGGCCGGTTCTTTACCATCTAACTACCTGGGAACTGCTTTACCTGACTCAAGAAGGCATTTCTTTTCTTTCTTTCTTGTCCTTTCTTTCCCTCCCTCTCTCCTTTCTTCCCCTCCTTCCTTTCTTTTCTCTCTCGCCCTCCCTTTCTGCCACTCTCTTTCTCTTTCTTCCCCCTAGTTAATGTAGTGAGGGAGGCCTGGACCTGTTTGGAAGGGGTTCTCCCTCACATTTCCCAGTGCACATAAAGCCTCCTCTTGTCCTGTCCTGCCCTCCATGGCTCCATGTGGAGAGCATATTGCTTCCTCTGGCTTCAGTACACGCGGGGGGCATCTCCAAGTCATGCTGTAGGGGACTGAGGGTTGCAGGTTGTGTTAGGGTGGTTTCTTCATCCACGGATTGTCTGCCTGGCACTCACACTTAGGGAAAGAAAAGACTGCCCTAGGCTGTAGAGGGAGGTGAGATGGATGACAGGCCTTCCACTCTCTGAGTTCAATAAATAAGTGCAAACCCCCAAATAACATTCAGTTGAGAAGATTCATGTGATGTGAGGTAAATGGCCTGTACAAATGTCCTATTGCGGGGAGAAGGGAGCCATGGAAGTGATTTTACCTGCCCACAGGGAAGAGAAACCAGAATTGGAAGGGAAGTGATTGACTTGTAATTACACTGACTGGGGACCCTGGGGTTGTGACCACAGAAAATTACTCAAGTTTTCCATAGCCCTAGAGCAAGGTGGCCTGGTGGTAAAGAATCTGCCTGCAATGCAAGAGACCGGTAGGAGATGCGGGTTTGATCCCTGGGTCAGGAAGATCCTGTGGAGAAGGAAATGGCAACCCACTCCACTATTCTTGCCTGGGAAATCCCATGAACAGAGGAGACTGGCAGGCTACAGTCCATGGGATCCAAGAGTTAGATATGACTGAGCGACTAAACAACAATAACCACAACAAACCCCCAAAGCCCAAGTCTCCAAAGCAAGTTGGCTGCAGTCACCTCTGGTCTCTCAGGAGGAGGTGGGGTATGTGGAGTGGGCAGTAGAATGCTGGCCAGCTCAAGAGGGTCAGGGTGAAGCTGTTGATGGGCCTATTTCAGGGACCTACCACCCAGGACCACGGGAGGCGGAGTGGGGTCAGGGGATGAGTCAGAAAGGGAATGTTTTTCATGCAAAAACTGTAAAGAAAATGTGAGGCTCCCATCCTCCCAGCTTCCAGGGAGTTTGGAGTGGGGTGGTGGGACCCAGTGATTAACAGGGACAAATGAATAACTCTTAGCTCAAGCTGCAGTCCCTTCAGTTCTGTATTTGGAGTCTGGGAGAGACATCCAGCAGTGACTTGAGGGGGTGCAGCCATTCTTGTTGACCTCAGAAGGCTGGGCCTGCACCTCCAGACACACCCTAACAGGTGTGTGTGTGTGTGTGTTAGTCACTCAATCATGTCCGACTCTCTGCGACCCCATGGACTGTAGCCCACCAGGCTCCTCTGTCCATGGAATTTTTCAGGCAAGAATACTAGAGTGGGTTGCCATTCCCTTCTCCAGAGGATCTTCCCAACCCAGGGACCAAACCCAGGTCTCCTGCATTGTAGACAGATTCTTTACCATCTGAACCACCAGGGAAGCCCAACAGACCTACCTGCTGGGAATCCATCCAACCCTTTGCAAGCCCACTCTATTTCTAATGAATTCCCTTTGTAGTACTGTTAACAGCAAGGGCTGTGACCAGTTAGTGGGTAGAGCAGGGTTGGGTAGGTCAAGAAAGGCATCTTTCGACCACAGGTTGCTGCACTAGGTATCTGGTATAACCTGTGCCTCTCTTCCAGGTGCCTCAACAGAACAAGGCGTGTGTAGCTCTGAAGAGAATTCCCAACTCCCATTAGCCCCGGTAATTCCATCAAAATTCTTGCCAGATTTAAATAAGAAGATAAATTAAAAAACTTGGGTCTTCTCTCGGTGTCTTTTCCCAGCCCACCCAGCAAGTAGTTATTACAAGTGAAATAACTATCTGAAAGCTGTCAACAATGGTTTTGCCATTATGTTTTTTGAGGGGCCATTCACTATATTTCCTCTGAAGTAAGTAGGCAGTTGTGGGAGAGACTTATGGAGCCAAAGGCCTTGCAGGTGCCCCTACCTCATTTAGATCCTTCCCTCCACAGCAGTGCCAGTGAATCATCCATTGCGTTACATCAGTTCAGCCAGCAAAATACATACATTTCCCCTTTTCTAATAAAGTCAGCTTATTATTTTAGGCTGCATAGGTGAGCCTTCTAGAACCCAGACAAAAGCTGAATGAAGTTTGTCATTTGATGCCATTTCCAGTAAAAGCATTGAAATGACAGCAACGATTTCAAAGCCCCATAGTGAGATGCCCAAATTGTATCTGGAATTTAAAAGGGCTTAAAAGTTACAACTCACTCAGAATCTCCCTCCATCTCTCTGTTCCACCTCTTCCTCAGAACTGAATGGAAAGTAAACCCCCCACAGATTCAGCTCCATCACAGTGTTAGCAAGCAAAGTGCAGAGCAGGTCACAGTATTTCTAATTCAGATTAATGACCCCATTCAGCCCTGTCTCCTTAGCAGGAAATTAGAAAGTGTAGGAAGGAGCAAATAGTAATTCATAATGCGTGACTCTGTGTATTGGCAGTTGTGCTCGTTAAAAGCCAAGATATTGTTTTGATATAAAATAATTGAGTCTGACTTATTTATGGGATAAAGTGTTTTCCGTAATGTGAGCTCCCTTTTACAAAGCCACATGCTTGAAGGACAGAAGAACTGGCTTTTGCCCGATTTGTGTTTGCTGCAGTTCTGTCAGAAACAGTAATTTAGGGTAATAGGCGGGTGGGCTGTTGTGAGTTTTTGGTACTCTGCTGTTGATTCTGTGTCTCTTCTTCCTCCCATGGTCATCTCTTCCCACCAGGGCTGAGTCACCGCCTTCTGTTCTCCACCCTCCACGCTCACTGCTTCAGGTAAAGTATTTAATTAGGGGGTTTCATTTGTCATCTGTTTGTGTTCAGCCATGACCTTTTCTCCGAGTCTTAGTATCTCCCCTACTTCTCAGAGTGTGTATGTACACACACGCACACAAACACGTGCGCGCACGTGTGCACACACACACACACACTTCCACTAGATTCACAGAGACAGACTCGTTGTCACCCTTGTGTAAATTCCTTTCCTTCTCTAAATCCTCATTCATAGCCATGCATATCCATTCTTTCCCTCTTTTGCCCTCCATATCTTGTCTGTCACCAAGAGCTTCCCTTTCCTCTTTGGATTCAATTCTTTCCTCCATTTGCACATTCAATATGTAAGCTTGACTCAGGCTCTTGTTTAGGAGAGAGAAATGATTTTTTTCAATAAAAATCATGCAAAGCTCTGTCTCCGGGCATGCCTAATAAACCTTTCCTATGAGGATGTATTCTTTGTTTTCTGCCCCAGGGAACATGTCTATTCTCAAATCTCACACCAAAATAGTGTTGATGAGAAACTGAAAAAGTTGAATGAGCTTTAGAAGTAATAAATTGCATCTGAGAAGTCATTTCTGAGCCTTGGTGTTTATTAGAAAGTAGATTCCTGTTAAATCTGAATTTCATCTACCACTCTCCTCTTGCACACACCCTTCTGCCACTAGTCTCCTTAATTTTCTTCGAATTCACTTTTTTTCTTTGAGCACATTTCTGTCCCAGGGCCTTTGCACTTCCTCTTTGGAACTCTCTTCACCAAGATGCTTACACTGGCTTGTTCTGATGGATATTATCTCCTCAGAGAGGTGACACACTAAGAGTCCTCTATCTGCCCATTTTTCAAATCACCTGTTACATTTTGAATTTATTATTTCCTGTCAGTTGTCCTTCCTAGATAGCCCAGTGAGGGCAGAGATTTTTGTCTGTTTGGCTTACAGCGTTATTCTCAGACCTAGAAAGAAGTGTTACACATGGAAGTCACTCCAGCAGTGTCTGCTGAATCCATGCCTAAAAGTTGGATCAGAATCCAGGAAGCCTCATTTAAAACAGTATTTTTTATAGTGTGGTCCCTGGACCTGCAACTTTGGCATCACTTGAGAAATTGTTAGCAATGCAAATTCTTGGGCCTCCAAGTCCTGTTAAATCTGAAAGTGGAAGGCAGTTGTATGAGTTTCAACAAGCCCTCCGGGAGACTGACACTGGGTAAAGCTTGAGAACCACTGCTCTAAGACATTGCTAGGGTGCCATGTTATCTTTTGCACTTACTACTGTTTGTCAAGGCAGGAAAAAAAAAAACCTCGCAACCCTTATGTTCAACATTTACACTAATCTTAGGCTATTCCCTGCTTGTTTCAGGTCCATTGAATCAGGAAGCTGGCTTGTCCTGTGGTCCTCAAGTTCCGGAAGAACTCCGTACGCCTTTGTTGCCTGGTTGATTTCGCAATATTCTTTGCATATTCCTTTTTTTTTTTTTTTTTAGCTCTAAGTGATATATGGAAGTTTATAGTCTTCCATTTAGAGTAAGTACAGATATGTTGTTATTGTTGTTGTTTAGTCCCTGAGTTGTAGTTCTCCAGGCTTCTCTGTCCGTGGGATTCTCTAACAAGAATGCTGGAGTGGGTTGCCATTTCCTCTTCCAGGGCATCTTTCTGACTTACAGATTGAAGCTGCATCTCCTGCATTGGCAGGCGCTGAGTCACCAGGGAAACCCATGTTTGTTATTAGCATATAGAAATTACATTGATTAAAAATATGTGCATGTTGGTTAATTTTAACTCATTGTTTTATTGCTTGCTAGATATGTGTTAAAGAAGTTAAAATCATGGGTTTAGGAGTTGGATTTGGGCTGGGTCAGGCCTTAATTGGTAAAAATGGGCAATAATATCTGCCTTGGAGAATTAATAGCACTGGCACACAGTGCATACTCAAAGTAGCTATTATTAATAATGATAATATTGGCATTTTTATAACTTATAATATGTAACATTTATTATCTTGGGGTGTGTGTGTATAAGTGTAGTTATTATGGCAGAAAGAAGATAGTGGAAAGTGTATTTTAGAACACTGTTTCTCACAAAGAGTTCTCAAGACCAGCAGCAACAGCATACCTCAGAATTACTAGAGATACAGATTTCTGCCCCACACCCCCAGATCTGCTGAAACAGATATAGAAGTGTGGGCTGACTACTATCTGTTTTAACAAATCCTCCAGGTAGTTCTGAAGCATCCTAAACCTTAGGAACCCTGCTTTAAAGTCACATACACACAAACACACACACCCTCACACTCTCTGTCTGGTGTGCCTCTCTGGGGAAACGGATCTGTTAACAGATAAAAAGGACCCTGGAGGCCAATACCTAGAGAATTCCTGCTGAGGGGCAAGTTCAGAGGACCTGAGTCATTTAAATTTGGGAGAGAGACCCAATTCCTGGTTTGCATATCAAACTCAGGCAGTGGCCTAGCTTTCTGACAGGTCTTTGAAAAATGAGGTCCCCAGTAACAGCCCTCTCTCCCTCCAATATTTCCTGGCCTGCAGCAATTAAACTGCTGAGCAGAAACTGGGCCTGATGGTCTGTTAACCCTTTGTCAGCTAAAGCACAGAAGCAATTTGTTTTGCTGGAGAGATTTTCTTCTCAACTTCTTTTCCTCCCACTGCACTACAAAGGAAAACTGTCTCCTTAAACATCTCCTTGTCGAGCTGCTGCATCTGTGTGATTGAAACAGCCGGGTCAGAGATCAACGGAGGTGAAAGGTCATCACAAACTAAATGCAGCTGCTGAATCTCCTTGTGCTTCTCCTTGGTGTCATGAAGACAAATAGTGTTAAAAAAAAATTTCTCCCAATGAGTTCTCATTTTCTCCTTTCTCATCACCCTTCAAGCATTTCTTAATGAACTACAGCTCAATCATCTATGAGCATGGTGGTTTTACATCTGAGCATAGCCTATCCAGAAACCATCAGAACTGAGTCAATTAAGATAGCTTTCTGAGTGCTTTTTTCTTGTGTTATTAAGTTTGGGCTTTTAGCACAGTCCAAGTCCTCACTGTTACTATTTACAACAATATCAAACAAACACGCCGTGCCCAGCCACGACAGACACAGTCCAGGAACGACAGACACCGGGCAAGCACTTCCTGGTTACTGATCATTGTGCTGTCTTTGTCTTTTACGTACATCCCTTGTTTCTTTTTGCTCACGTGTGCTTTATAGATTTTTCTCTGGAAATTTTGAATTTTAGACCAACACCTTCTACCGTCTAGGCAGGGATTTCTCAGGGAAACCCAGCCAAAATGAATGTGCATATAAACAAAAGGAAATTGGGATCATAATCTTGTTTAAACCACGTCTGTTAAAACCGAGTAACTCTTTATTAAGAAATGACAATCCTGTTTTTCTACTTCTCCATTTCTAAAGGCAAGAAGAGTTTTAAATCTGACAAATAGAATAGAAACCATCCAAAAATATCGAAATGAATACTTCTTTAATGACAAGAACCCTAGTATTCAACCCAAGCTGATTTTTAATGATTTCTTTATGGTGCTCAACATAGTGCTTTGCTCACTGTAGATATCCAACACCTTTTTCAGGCTCAATATTGCTTACAAATATGAACTTTAGCCTTAAAAAACATAGTAACTGGAACTGAGATATAAGGGATGGAGATATCTGATTTTATGGTAAAATGAGAATTTATTAATCAAATTTGGGTTTGGACTGTGTTAGTGCAGATGATAGAAGAAGGAATTGTATGTGAAGCAGCTAATGTGGATCTGCACTTGTCACATAAGGGCTCCATGAGGGTGATTTTTCTTTTCTCCTTCTCCAGTGAGTGATGACACATCTACAAATCAAGGGACAGCTGTGCTAGAACGGTCAGAAATCAAAACTGAAGTCAGGGGTTCCCCTCCTTGGCCCATGGTC